CAATTAATCCAACTTACTTAACCAGTTTTAAAAGATACGACTTTGAATTTAAATCGTACACGTTTGCCACGCGGTAACCGATGTATTTCTTCAGGTCGTGAACGATGGCCACGACGTCGATCGTACTGAATCGTGTCTTCATTCTCCTAAAAATTCCAACAGTAAAAACAGAACAAAACACCATTGGCAGATGAACTCAGATGCAAAACATTCCAACTGTTTGGATGACTGCATTTCATACAATACATTGATTGGCGCAGTTTGTCACCATGTCTTTATATAGCATCGGACACGGAGCTGATCTGCGTTTCGATGCAATCAGTCAGCAGTGCTGTATTTACAGTAGTGATTAGCACAGTCTGCAATCTCTTGCTTTCTTTCCATGTGACGGCACTAAATCTAACGGTCCAAAGGCGAGTTACACGATCCAAATTCGAACTCGATATCTATTACTACGAGCCACAATTTAGTGACTGAGTTATTCCGTTGATAAAAAGCTATTCCTCAATGAGCTAAGCTAAATGAGATACCCGTTAACTACAAATAAATAAAACCCAGTCCTTGCCGGTCCCAAGCCCGGATGAGAAAGGATGAGGACTGCGGATCGCCGCAATGTCTCCATAAAACTTAGATCCCTCAGGGTATTGCGAAGGTCACTGAACATTATACCAGCTCGGTCATCACAAGGGATACCAAGGGTCGCGAAAGCTGTGGGGGACTGGGGCAGCCTGCGAAAAGTCGGCGACCAGAACCTGTTAACTGCCTTCTGGCAGCGGGGTGGGACGGGGGGGGGGTCGTATCAGAACGACAACGGCTGCAAAAGATCGACGAAATGAAGACAAATATAGCAATCAGCAACGGAGTCGCCACCAGTTCTGAACGGAAAAGGCAGACAGCGTGATGCCATTAAAACACGTCATATAATTCTTCACAGGAGCAAGGCCGAGAATGAGAGCTTAAAATCAAAAATTGGAACTCCTAACTCAAAGAAGAAAAGCATCAGATACGTGATGAAACCCCAAAGTATCAACTCGATATTTTTTGACTCTCTTCAATGAAGCACCAGGACCATGAAATTTTCGACCTCTGCGAATGGAAGCTATTCTACTTATGTACTGACATCACAACCAGCGTTAGGACCTACGTTGGTGCTCTGACCGAACCTACCCGGTTGACAGAATCACTGAATGGAAGCCTGTCTGCGAACTGATGGAAATCCACCAACTGAAGCCACAGTATGTTAAGCGTTAACCTTGTTACAGGTCTATATGCCCAACTCAGAGGGAGAATATGACGCCTTCCTTGAGGAAGTGGAGTGTGCTCTGTGCGAAGTGCCGATTAAGAGTCCCTCGAACTCATGGGCGATTTCAATGCGCATGCGGGAGCAGACACTCAAAAGTAAAAAGGCGTGATTGTAAAGAACGGTCTAGTGACTTCAAAAATAACGGCATGAAGCTGTTGCGCCTTTGTGCAAACAACGAACTGTTCATTAAAAACACCAACTTTGAGCATCGAAGAGTGGATCAGTATACCTGCTATAGGAGAGCTTATACACAGAAGTAATGATCGATTTGATAATCGCCTCGTTTGACCTACAACGTTCTATAATGGATGTTCGAAAAGCGCAGAACTATCAAGAAATCATCACCATTTTATTGGCGCGCTACGCTGCAAGGGATGGTATACCATGCAAAGACCAATCGGCAGAAGCAACGAGAGAATCACATAAGAAACATTATCTTCCGCGCATACGACGACAAAAATTGAAAACAGTATCGCACGACGGTTTGAACATATCCCGTTGATGACCGCTGATGTGAAAACAGAGTGGAAGCTCTTCAAGAGCGGCATATTTGGGGGCTGCCGCAGACCGATGCGGATTCAAACAGGTTGGCCTGCAGCCTGGAGGTCAGGAAAGAACTTCCTGGTGAACACAACTGGCAATTAATGAGAAGGCTACATTCAAGAAATGGCTTGGAGGCAAATAAACTTCAAGACTACTCACATGCAGTATGTCGAAGCACGTAAGGTGGCAGCCAAAGCAGCGGCGAAAGCAAAAGCTGATTCCTGGCAGAAGTTCGGTGAGGTGTTGGAGTCGAATT